GGGGGGGGGGGAGAGGGAGAGAGGCTGGGCCTGGGGGAAGAGAAGCTAATGGCCACGGGAGACAGGGACGGAGAGGGGACAAACATCTACCAGACACACAGACTACACCACCGGGGACGGACGGAGAAAATACACGGCACGGGAGGGGAAATCCCTTAGGAGTGCATCCGTTCTCTGCATTCTGCTCATCTGTGCTAATGTGGCTGTGTCCTGATTATATATAACATATACAATACATAACATATGTCATACATAGTGTTATATATTATATCTGATGTTATATATCTATTATGTTATACATAATGTTATATATTATATCTGATGTTATATATTATATCTATTATGTTATACATAATGTCATATATTATATCTGATGCTATATATTATATCTATTATGTTATACATAATGTCATATATTATATGTGATGTTATATATTATATCTATTATGTTATACATAATGTTATATATTATATCTGATGTTATATATTATATCTATTATGTTATATATAATGTGATATATTATATATGATGTTATATATCTATTATGTTATATATAATGTGATATATATTATATATCATATGATATATATAATATTACATATATGTTATATTTCTGAGTACAAATGCACTCATCTTTAACTTTACAACTTAACTTTTTGCAGTCTATTCTTTTTTCCGCGTTGTTCTCAGCTCCGGTCAGGTATTGTACGGCACACGTAGTGAAGCTTTTCCCATTGCGATTTTTCCCCCTCCCAGAGTTGTATCTTGTTTCGTGTGCCCCCCCCAAATAACTCCAAAAACAGGCGTTCAGAGAGGCATCGGTTACATGAAGATGACTGAACTTAGGTTCAGGAGGGAAAAATAAACACATACACGAATCCTTCCTTCCTGAAGCTGCTCAAGTAGATCTCCATCGAATCGCCAGGCAGTTTGCCATGCATTACTTAATCACTGCACACCGAGTCTCGGCTCCAAGGGGACGGTTCCAAAGCCTGTGGCAGATTTTTGTTTTTTAAAATCAGAATTTAGACCATGCGCAGAAATCACCCTCATGGCTCTTAGGTGGGTTTTCTTTTTAACCTCGCTATTTTATCATAGATTCCCTCATAAACACCAGTGGCTGAGTTGGAGTAGGAGGGGAAAAAAAATGTCCCCAGCTGACTTTGGTGCTCGACTTCCAAAATCAGGGATTGGAGTTCTAGCTCATCAACAAGATGCTCACGCGGAAAAATCAGAGCGTGAAACTCTGCGTACGAGCTGCACCTTTTCTTTTAGTCTTCGTAAACGTATTTGTTTTTAAGTCCATGGGTGGTAAGCTTTGCCGTACGTCCGTTTGCCCTTGAATTCACCACTCATATTTATTTTAATTTGTTGGTACCCTGGAGGCAAGAAGCATGTGGTTAAATTGATCTATTCCCCTGCTCAGCACAGCAGATAATTTAATGAATTTTCCCTAACGATAATGATGGTTTTAAAACACTGCTAAATTGGAAGTTTACAGATCTGCCTCTTCGTACTCTGCTGGTCATTGCATTGATG